GTAATAAAAAATTGTTATAGGAAGTTACCCTAAAAAATATAATCGAACTAGATATTACCACGGCGCAATAGTTCAAATGTAATTGAACGATGTTCGAGCGTAATAATGTGGTTATTATTATTTATTTAAAAATTTGATTCTCTTTTCGTAAACCAACCGACGGAAGGAATAGGGATAAGTATAGGGATAGGGGACGTGGAATCTCTTTCGTCTGAACGAAAGATTTGATTTCCCTCGTCACCGGATTTCCTCGTGAAAATGCGAAAATGCAACTCTATCGGTATCTATTTTTCAAGGTGTACTCACCTCGAAGTCGACGAGAGAAAATCTCGTTAGCGTCAATGTCCGATCGAATATCCGTTGGTGAATTCGTTCAGTCTTTCATGGATATGCCACTGTCATTGGTTAGCTAACCATTTTCTTGTATCTATTACATTTCATATCACAGAGAACAACAAGATTTACAGCTAATATAGTTTATACGATCATTTAGATTACGTCGAATTTAATCCTAGCTGTGTGTGCACATCTCAAAATAATTTCAAGTTGTGCACTTTGGGTTGCGATATACCATACAGGCACTTTGAACGACTCTCATTTATAGAATGAATAAATTTGACTCCAAAAAAAAAGAAAAAATACTATATATTCTTTCAAGCCTCGGAAATAATAATCAATAGATTTGAAAAAATCCAATTACGAAAGAAAAAAAAAAATAAAAAAAAAAGAGAATACATTCACGAAAAAATATTCATGCAATGCTCAGATTGCAACTGTGAAATATTTAATTCTCATAATTTTTCAATGAGACAAGTATCGTCGAATTTCAAAAATATTCCAAATCTATATCTGTAACTATAAGTCCAATTCATATTCCAAAAAGGATTTTGGTAGTCTAAAACTTATTGGCACGATGGCGACGTTGAATTAGATGTGAGAAGCTTTTCTCGGAGTCGCCGAAGGTGCTTTTCAAACTGAACGGCGCTCAACTTTGAAATTATTACTCGTTTACTAAGGTTTTATTGCTTCAATAATAAAACTGAACGATATACCACATCTTCCATCTTCTCATTCCATCTTTTCATTCCTGTACACGACGTTTCGTTCGTTTTACGTAGCTGCGAAATATGATCGTTATTACGTATAAAGTTATACGATTTCACTATGTCGCCTATATTAGCCATGTCTTTAATATTGAGCTTGGTTTTACGTATGTATGTACTTACATACATTCACGTTCTCTCTCTCTCTTTCTCTTTATAATTTATAGAAATTTCGTTGCAGCGATTTTGGCTTACAAAGTGATCCAAGATGTGATGGATCGGAATAGAATCGATTGATATTGGATATATATATATATATATATATATATATATATATATATATGTCTCTCTTGTAAAAATATCACTTACAGTTTTATTTTTAATTTTAACAATTATACAAATTGTTTGGCGTTCTATAATGAATTTTTCATTTCTTTAAATTTCTGAAATACTTTCATACTATCTTTATCCATCCTCTTAACTATCATTGCGTTAATGTTCTTTAAATTTTGAACATTACTATAATCAATTTGGACAATGCTTGATAATGCATTGTATTAAATTAATTATATATATATATATATATTTTTTTTTTTCAATCAATTTTTTATCTATGAAATAGTCATTATTTCTGTACATAGATTATTGTAATCAGGAAAAATATAATGATGTCTATATTAGCCTGAAATTACTCTTTGCTCTTTCAATAGTAAATTTTTATGACAATTGAATTCTTTATTTAATCTTTATTTTTTATTTTTTTTTTTTTTTAAATATCAAATATTTAGCTTTGTTCGCTCACTCTTCATGTTATTTTTTCTTTTCTTCTTTTGTCCTCTTTTCCTTACTTCAGTTGAATTATTATTTTTCTTTCGACTTTTCTCCTTCCTTTTTTCTCTATTTTTTTTTTTGTTCTTTTTTTAAATCGCGAAAAATTTCCTCTTTTACGGCCAGTGCGTGGAGTGTTAGAAGCCAACATGAACGGAGGAATTCATAGCTATGATCGTCGTACACGTTCTCTTTGGGTCGAAGTAAATTTCTTTTTTTCTCATGAAAATAAAAAAACGTTTAAAGTGTTTACGTGGAATCGAATCTAAGTCGAGTTTTTTTTTTAATTATTATTATTATCGGATAAATATAACGTTCGTAAAAAAATATACAAATATATCTACATACTGTTTGAAAAAAAGAAAGAAAAAAAAAAAAAAGAAAAAAATGTACCGTTCAACGTGACGGATGTAAAAAATAAATTAATTAGGACGCATCGTAACGTATAAGAAGTCCTTGATAATCGTTTAAAAAATATCATATTTACACGCATTCATTTTCTTTATCATTCTTCCTGTAATATATCGTTTATAACATCATTAGCTAATTAAATGCGATAAATCACACATACTTATAGTTATTACTGATAAGGAAATATCGCATACGAAAAAGAAAAATTATCGATATCTACCTAAAACTAATTATTAAAAATAATATTAATAATAATAATAATAATAATAATAATAATAATAATAATAATAAAAATAATAATAGTAATAATAATTAAATGCAATAATAATAATTAAATGCAACTTCACGTCTTCTCGTTCATAATAGTTCATCCTTTAATGCTGAACTTTTTTGATTGTCCATCGTCATTATAAATATTCAACAGTTTGATCCTAGCAGTAAAATGCAATTCAAGCCATTATACTTGATATAACAATTTTTAACAAATAAGTCGTAATGCAGATTATTAGGATCGAAAATATGAGCATCTTCATGCAAGAGAAACAACTCCCTGTTGAAAAAAAAAAAAAAAGAAAAAAAAAAAAAATGCATTATTTACCACATGATAAGTTTACTTATTCGTAATATATAAAGGGTGTCCCGATTTGAAACAAAGTATCTAAATATTCATTTTATCTCGATTGTTATTAAAGAATGAAAAAAAAAAAAAAGAAAAGATTAATGATAGAACATCACGGCTTAAAAGATCATTTTAAGATATTAAAAAGAAAGACGACAAAAAAAGGAAAAAAAAATGTTATTCCACGAATTTGTCTTTTTACGTGGTATCACATTATGATAACATTTTATTTTTTTTGAAAGGAGGAAAAAGAAAAAGATCAAGAGCCACTAATGATTCGTATTTTTAATTTGTACACTAATGAATTATATATTTCATTTTCCTCTTTGAGCAAACATGGAAAAAGAAAATAATAAATGACGTCATTGCATTTTTCTCTTTATATGTATATATATATATATATATATATATATATATATATATATATATATATATGTATATATAAAATATATGTTCATTATCGTCGTATTTCTTGCACAATACAACTTTTAACATCCTTTTTTTTTTATATAACGCGATACATAGGAAATATTTAGATCTTTGTCTTTTAAATAGGAGATACCCGAGATACAGATCTATATACATACATACATGCATATATACATATAAATATATATATATATATATATATTTTTTTTTTTTTGAAATTAGATAAAATATAATATGATATATGAGAGATAAATGAAATGTAAAAGAGAGAAAGAGAGAGAAAAAAAAGAGATTATTTACCATTATTATTTTTACGAGATACGACTTCGGTGGTTACAATGCAGGGCTGTGGTAGGGATTGTGCTTGACTCGTTTCCATTGGTACATACATAGGATTGTAAGATGGTTGAGTTGCATTGTATTCTGGATAATTATTTGTTGGATACTGTCCCAATATTCCCGGCTGTACGTTTACATTTGTACCGAAGGAGTGTGACCCGAATGGAGGAAGAGGGAAATTGTTTTTTGAAGTAGACGGTAGGCTCACCGCTTCAGAATACGATGGCGGTGCCGTAGCACTTATCGTTGATATTTGTGGTTGATAATGCATCTTCGTTGGACGGTCCGGCGATCGGGGAGTAAAGAGGAGGTAACTCGTTCGTTCATATATTTGTAAGGTGTCCCGTTATCTCTGACTATCAGATAGAAAAAGAAAAAAAAAGAAGAGAAAATCATTATTATCGTTCGTTCGTTAATGGAAAGAAATAAATGGATAAAATCTAACCGTAAATTATTTCTTAATTGTTAATAATCAAGTTTTAAGATAAATTTATTGCGAACTATTGACTTTTAAATAAGAACAATGTCTACACTATATATCCACATATATGTGTTTGTTCGTATGTTTGTGTTTTTTTCTTTTTTATTTTTGCATTTGTATTTGTGTATATTTGTACTTAATAAGCGACAATTAATCATTCATTACATTGATAGTATAATAATATTAAATTGTTTTTAATCTTCTCTTAGCATAGGAATACTGTTAAAAGTAATAAAATTATGAAAGAAATTTTAGTAAAAATATCATTTACGATGAGATATTAAATGTGACGTCAAATTTGATATCATATTTTGCTCGAAATATGAGGATATTAAATTTATGATTAAAAATTAATTCAAGTTCATATTCGATAGTAATGATATATCAATCTCGTAAAATATATCGACATTGGCTATCGGTATAAATAAGATACTAAATAACTTTAATATACATTTAATATACCATTGTCCTTTTCTTTTTTCTTTTATCTTTTTCCTTTTTTCTTTACCTTTCTCCTTTCTCTTTGTATTTTTCTTTGTTCTTTTTCTTTCTTTTTTCTTAATTTTTTTTTCTTTTTTTTCTTTTTTTTTTCTTCTTTTTCTTTCAAAGAAATTCGTAATTTCATTATACCGATGAGTATTGTAAAAAAATATTTTGAAACGTCAATGTGCTCAATACACAAATAGATTATCCAAGGAAGCGAGTTATCAATATCAGTATTATCGCTTTATAATCTTCTTTCCTTATCTTCGATTATTTATTTTTCGCAAATATGTCCAGTTCAAAAAATTGATTAAAATGAATAAGTTAAATGATCTAATTTTATTAATTCGATATAATTTATTTTTACTGTATAAATATATATATATATATATATATGTGTGTGTGTGTAGGTTTTTCCAGAAAATAATTGTTATAGTCTTACGCAATCATCACAATTACTCAGTAATACAATTTTTCTAAGAAACAAAGAAGAGCTTATATAATTCATATAGAGTTCTCATTTGCTTTTCTCATTACTATCTTCGTTTATATATATAAAAAGAAAAGAATTAACATCTGAAACAGTTTACGATAATTGGAAAATGGAGGTCTGTGAACATTATAAAAAATTTCTTATCGTCGACATGAGATAAGAATTATTAGAATGCGTTGAACGGCATGTAAATTCAAACAGGAATATATAGTATCGTATAAATTTTAAATAAAACTTTTCACATTCATATATATGTATATATATAGATATGTGTGTGTGTGCTTATGCGCGCGCGTGTATATATATATATATATTAAACAGAAACTATTCTAATGATTTATAACTATTAATGTAAATAGTATTTTATAATTATAAGATATTATATTTAAAAATTATTAATTGAAAAATAAAAAAGATAACTTACGTTGTTCTTTCTCATAACGTGTTATTTCGATATACTTCTGCGTAAGCTATCGACTGTTAACCAACACGTACGGACGTATAACTGCACGCTAATGTCGTTGAATGTCAACAGTTATACCAACGATATAGTTGGCAACTTGTGACTCGATCGATCAAAAGATCGCGCGGGAAATTCGAACCTTTCTAAAATTATTTTTTATTTTTTTCTTTTCTTTCTTTTTTTTTTCTTCTTTTTAAATAAAAACATAATTACCGTTGTGTGCAAATTTAGATACATGATAAATTGCCATGAGTCTTTATTAATTCTTATAAATCATCCATCATATCTGTCGAATTATCAATGAGTACTATATATATACATATTTCGAGTTATATATATATATATATATATATATATATATATATATCGTATTAAAATTAAATCTTATTAATTATTATTTAAATTTAAAAATAATATTTTTTGCGTAACAAAAAAGAAAGTTTTTTGTAAAGAAAATATCCTGAATATTATAAATTAAGAACGTCTACACACACACACACACACACACACACACACACACACACACATATATATATATATATATATATATATATATATATATACATATAAGAAAATATATTATTATTCACCGCGGCTATTATTCTCAGTTAATCCATTAGGTAATTATATTCTACCATTATCTATTGTTCTAACATATTCTTATCTATCGTAAAGAAATTTTTTCAATCATTAAGATAGATTATCTCGTAATAAGGAATAAATATTTATTATAACGTTGGATAGAATCGTGTTAAGATATTGATTAATTATCTTTAGTACCTGTCTATTTATGATTGAAACATTGTCCAATAATAAGATTATCCTTCCATTTTTTCTCTTTCCATTCTTTTTCTTTTCTTTTCTTTTCTTTATATCGTACTTCTTTTAAAATCTCATACACAATCTAAGGATTCTAATAAAACTATGTTTTGTCCTGATGCATGTATATATATATATATATATATATATATATATATGTAAATTCATTTTAATGACTGATGATTCTAGGTATTAAGATAATGATTATACTATAGCATGATTTGTTGGCAGAAATCATATAAATAACATGAGAAATTAATGTTGGTGTAAAAAAAATAAATTGACGTAGGTATATAAAGAAAAAGACGAAAAATAAAAGAAAAGAAAAACCAAAAATTCTCAATTCAATTCATCTTAAAGTTTACATCGTCATAATTTAATATTTCCTTTATCGTACTATTCATATCTATCACCATTTTTTTTTACACAAAGTTGATCGTTCATATTATTGGTAAGGAGCACATAAGACAGATTGAACACTGGCTATGTCAAGTACGTATTATCGTCGAGTTGTCGTGACATTGGATAAACGAAGCCGACAGGTGCCAGCTGCTTTGGCAATAAAAATGTCGCGACGATCCCTTTTTTTATCCATTTCTGTTTGAGACACGTCTATGTTATCCCTATTCACTTTTTTCTATTTCTTATAATCAATGCCAACAAATCATACTGTCGAACGCAAGATTGTTTAATCTTTCAAGTATACGTAAATGGTATATTATAGAGAAAACAAGAAATGTCGAATTCTTATTTTAACATTCCTGTATATTCTCACGATGTACGGAAGAAGAAAAACAAAAAAAAAAAGAAAAGAAGAAAACAGATGAGAAATAAAAAACAAATGACTTAAAGGATTATAAAAAAAAAAAAAAGAATCCATTATTGAATAACATAGAAATATAATCAAGGACAAGTAATATATTTATTCGATATCATGGGATTTTCATATATTTGCATCTTTCAGGATTTCTTTATCAAAAAGTTGGCACGTACAAAAGGGGACCGTGGTCCTAACGTAAAGCCGGCTACGAAAAGAAAAATGGGTCGGCGCCAAGGATTTAATCAATGATTTCGGCGCCATCTCGACTCGTCGATGATACGTTTCTATGAAAACAAAAAAAATAATAATAATAATAATAACGCATGACTGATGTTCGCATAATGATTGAGAAGTTAATGATCGTACTGATAAATATTCATATTTTTATTTCTCTATATAAGCTACTTTTTTTTTTGTGAAAAAAAAAGGAAGAAAAAGAAAGAAGAAAACGAAAAAATGACCGAGACACAGAGAGAGAGAGAAAGAGAGAGAGAGAGAGAGAGAGAGAAAAAGAAAAAACATTCGTCGATGCCAACATATCTGAGAAGAATATTATAATTAATAATTCATTTATAATCGAGTTAATCATTAATCTTTTTAACGTCGGTATCGCACATTATAATTTTTAAATTCTTTATTTGACACTTTTTATATTCGTCCCGATGTATTGCGAAAAGGAAAAAGGACAAAGATAAAAAAGAAAGGAGTTTTTATCTTTGATAATATTGTCCTTTAATAAATAACAAATTTGCAATATAATTTCATTCAATACTTTATCCTTTGTCATTCGCAATTGAGAATGAATCGATAATGATACACAAAAGTAAAATTAAAATTATTTCGGAATACCCATTTCGTTTCGTTTCGTTTCGTTTCGTTTCCGTGCTTGCACTTCTTCCGTATCGCTTACAATGGCAAACAATATCGGATTTCCTAATCGCTTATTCGGCTGTTTCCATTCACTTTCTTTTTTCTTTATTTTTTTTTCCTTTTGTTTGTTTGTTCGTTTTTTGTTTTTTCATTTTCAACAATCGCTCTTGAAAAATTCGTATATTTTACTCACTTATCTAACCATCCATTCGTGTATGCATGTACTTAACAATTGATTCTTTTATTTCGTACAATAGAGTAACACCTCGTATAACACCATTGATAAATAAAGTGTTTAAATTTATTCGTCCATCATATTGATAACATGGATTATATACAAATATAAATTATATGAGATGTATATGTAAAGAAATATTTACGAAAGATTTATTCTACGGATTTATTGTTAAGATGCGTAAATTCTTTTTTTTTTCCTTGCCATAGAATTTTACTCTATGACAGGAATCGTAACAGAACGAATCGATTCGAATAGTTTTATTTTTTCTTTCTCTCTTTTTTTAATTAATTTCTATTGATTTTATTGTTATAATTCTTTTCTATTTTTTTCCTTGTTTTTTTTTTTTTGTTTTCTTTTTATTTTGTTTCTATAAAGACAATCACACGGATTGCAAAGTATAAAAAAGGAAATAAAAATAAAACTAAAATCTTAGCGTTATCATTTGTAAAAATACGACGCTGAGTGCAATAATCAGGTAAGATTTGTTATAAGTATAGTGATAGAGTAGAGTTCACTTTCACTATTGGACACGCGATCTTCTTAGATAGAAACAATTTTTACCGAATAGAATTACACCGAGTCATTTGTCATTCGTTCTCACGGTCGTTCGTCGAACTCGACTAGTTTCTCTTATAATATCTTCTTTTTATCTTGAATTGTTTTACCGAGTGATTTATCAGAACCAACCTTGCGAATCTTACTTATCTTGAACTTTGAACTATCTTAAGATTTCTATTTTGCCAATGTGCAAATATAACCATAAGATAACATCTTACGGCTATATTTGCGGATTAGTCATATTCACGGATTAGTAATGTCTTTCTTAATTCTCTCTGTCCATGTGTAAAAAAAGTTATGTAATGTAAGAGAAGTATTATAATTTTTATTAATATATAAATATACTATACCATTTTAAATTATAAATAAATAACTATACATCTATACTATATTATAATACTATAATATATATATATTTTTTTATATGTATATATAATATAGGATTACATTATATAAAAAATAAATACAATTTAGCATTAAGATTAGATAAATCTTTCGACAGAAACTAGCAAGTAACTTTATAGAAGAAAAAACAAAAATAATAATATTTGAAAAATACAAATAATAATATAGTATAATAGTAAAGTTATTATGACGTTAGAAAAAATTAAAAAAATACAAGACCGAAGGACCTTATATCTTTTTACCTGCTAAATATATCCATTAGTTGTTGAAATATGCAAAAAAAATGATGACAAAGGCAGAATTCATTTTTTTACGACTAGACACTCGTATTTGCATACTGTCTGTGAAGGTCACATAGATATGTTGACAAGGATCAGCACGTTATACTTCATACGAATGTTACAAAGTCTCTTTCTCTCTTGTACGTGTGAGTGGAAAGATAAAGAACTGACATAATTGTTGCAAATCATCATTAAGTGAGGTTTGATCGATGATGCGGGAATGCATCTTATGTTTTAAATACGTCCATACGATTGAGATAAAGAGAAGGAGAGAGAGAGAGAGGAACAGAAAGAGAAAAAGAGAAAAAGAGGGGAAGAGAGATTTACAACGACCGTACACGTTACATAAATGTATTGATAGTGTACATAATAACATACGAGAAACTTCGGGATTCACAAGCTATAAGTTTACAAGCAATGGTACGTGTATCTTAATATTAACATTAGCAAAAGTGACGAGCAACATATGAGGTGGAAAAAAAAAAAAGAAAAAAAGGAGAAGAAAAAAAAGGAAACGTTTCCGAAGAGATCACTTTATTACGTTTTTCTTTCTTTTCTTTTTTCCTTTTAGTTTTCCGTTTTTTTTCTTTCTTTTTTAATTTTTTTTTTTTATAAATCTTAACTATATTTTACTTTAATCAGTTTTCATTAGTTGCATATATGACGTTAATGACATTTAAATGGACGGAAGATGATGTTACACGCACACACATATATATATTTAAAAAATTTAGAATATTCAAAGACGCGCAATCATCTAACATCATTTAACCTCGATATTTATCGACCTTCATCGTCGTTTAAACACGTGATATATCATCAATCTTTTTTTTCCATTTTTTTTCCATTTTTTTTCCAATTTTCTTTTCCTTTTTTTTCCCTTTTACTTTAGAATTCTTATTATCAGATTTATTTCCTGTATTCGTAATGACACAAATCATGTTTCTTTTTATTAGTTTTTTTCCTTTTAATAGAAATCTTTATTTATCAAATGTTTATGAACATACAATTCTTATCTATCTATATGTTTATGAATATACAATTATTATTTGATATCATTTGTTAGTTTTATCATGAAAATAGATTTAAGAATGTTGATTCGATAATTGGAATGAATCTAAACTCTTTAAATTAGAAATCGATTTAGTTTTATATTTAGAAGGGGAATGGATATGTATTAAATAATCAAATAAACTCTTGTCTTCTTTTTTATTTTTATTTTTTCTATTTTTATCATTACATTATATTACGTATATTTATTAATATCTATGATATTGGTTGTACTTCACTATGATTATTTCAACGATAGACATATTCTATTAAAAATTATTATTGAATATAAAAGATAAAAGCTGTCCATCTTTTGAACTTTCTACGAGACCACAAGTCGAGATTTTGACTTTAATAAGATAAAATATGACATCGTTTACAAAGATGAATCATTTAACATCCTATCAAATTATTTACTTACTTACAATGTCTATTCCTGAGTTTAAGAGTTAAGGCAATTTGAAACTTATGTTATTATCCAAATAACAAATTCACATTTTTTTTCTTTCTTCTTTCTTTGTTTTTTTTCTTCTTTTTACGAATTCGATTCGACTTTGCTTCGTCTTTTGCGTTCTCTCTCTCTCTCTCTCTCTTTTTCTTTTCTTATTTGTTGTTGTTTTTTCTTCGTCCTTTCATTTAGTACATAAGAAAGAGGAACGAGAATCATAAAGAGAAGGAAATAGGAAGACGCAAGCGATCCACTGAATCGGCTATACTTTTTCTCATTATTTGCGACGTTATCCGAAAACGAATGGACTTTTAAATTGCAACAATGCCAGCGGCTTTGGTCGCACTAGTCACGATACGCCCGACATGGTTTAGGTCCGATAACGGATGCGGAACGCAACTGTACCGTCTATGTTCTCTCCCAACGAGTAAAAGCGACAAATTCGTCCCATTATATTTTCGTATTTATTTCGGCTGCGGTCCTCCCTGCCTCTTCCCCTCCGACCATTCCCTACCACCCTCTGTCACTCTACCTCCATCCTACACCCCCTATCTCCCCATCACCCTTATAACCATCACCCAGTCGACTCTATATCCTCCCCTCTACTCCTACCCATCCACCCATTACCAACCCTACCAACGTCGCCATCTCGGCCACTTTTGTTCCGTCCGCAATTACGCGTTCCGGCGCGCTTAATTCCCGACGATTAAAACTCTCGGACCACCCGTTAATTTCCTAGAAAATAATGTAGAATCGTACCAGCCACGAACTTCTCGTCGATCTTGCCGGTTACTGTAACTTTTCTTCTTCTCTCTATCTCTCTTTTTCTCTATTCTCATTTCTTTCTTCTTTTTTATTTTGATTGCTTTCGATTCTGTTCTTTTTTTTTTCTATTTTCTTGATAGGACAGAACGATGAGATAACAACAATAATTGTCACTTTGTTTTCTCGTGTATTGTTTCATATATATATATATATATATATATTTTTTTTTTTTTTTTTCTTTTTAATTATTTTATTATATCTCGATAATAATAAGATAATAATACGGGACAATAATTTGTCGTTTTTTTGTTATTTCTCTTATCACCAATCTGATACATTATCTAATATTATAATATTCTTAGATAAGTATAATTGTATATATATATATATATATTCGCTCTTATACACCATTAGATATATAATGGCGATAAAGTTATAGATACTTATTACAATAAACTCTTTCGAAAGGAAGTTTTTATATTGACCCATGACATTGTCCATACGAGCTCAATATTTAATTTCCTCGAACGCATAGATATCTCTCAAGCTCGAGGATCTCCTCTATTCAGTAGGGGCTGGTACTAACTTGGAGTATCCAACATCGTGAAACTATTTAAACTCTGAGAGGCAAGCCGTGCGACCATTGTCGCATCGAAATTTCATAGCTCGTAGAACTTCCGTGCAAATACAGACTGACTGAAGTAGAACTATGACGTCTGTCTATCTTTCTCTTTCTCTCTTTCTCTCTCTCACTCTTTCTCATTTTATAGTGTACCATGGAAAATGCTCTGTCTTTCTCTCTTTCTCTCTCTCTCTCTCTCTCTCTTTCTCTCTTCTTCTTTTTCTTCTATTGTAGGAAAACTTTCGCAAAGTATCGGAATCGTTGCAACGAACGATGAATTTGTCGTTCGTTGGCTGGTTCGGTACGTTGGCGCCGCCGCTGCTTCTTATTTACCTCGCGGGTCGCGCTTTGTTCGCGCGTAATTAAGTTTTGCGGCGGCTTAACGCCCGACAATTACTCGGTGGTAGTCGTTAATTTCCCTTGAAATAAAAGACAAGGAAGTGGAGAAGGAAAAGGAAGATGGAAAGAGATGAGTGAAAAAGGAGACAAAGAGAGAAAGAGTGGGAGGGAGAGGGAGAGAGAAAGAAAATGAGAGAGAGAGAGAGAGAGAGGGAGAGAGAAAGAAAAAAGCCGCACTATTATATCAATTTATAATAGTAATATATTTATAGTTATGAATTGATAACGACGTATTTCTTAATTTATTTCCTCAAGAAACGAATTGTCGACTTACTATCGAAACTTTCGTTAAATTTATCATTTTTTTCTTCTCCTCCTTCTCCTCCTTCTACTCCTCAATTCTATCTAAATCTTTTAAAACTTTAAGGAATGTTAAGAATGTTCTTGGCAAATCATATCTAAATCAATAAAAAATTCTACGAGTAGATAGGTAATGTATACGTTATCATGTCGAGATAAATTAAGAAGCAAATTAAAAATTATACATACATACGTACATATATATACATATATGTATATATATATATATATATATATATATATATATATATATATTTCTTTTTGTTCTCCTTTTTTTCTGTATTTAGAGAAAGAAAGTTGATTCTTTAATGTTTTTTTCATCTGAAACTAGTCAATAATCCGGTTTACGTTCTCTTTTAACTTAACAGATGAAAGACATATATATATGTTAGTGTGTGTGTATACATATTTATAAGTATTTTCTTTTTATGCTTTTTTTATATCCTTCTTCCAAACGGTCATTCAAAAATGTGCGAATACGAGTAACGTTTTTTTGAATGCGAAATAAATTATTTTTATTATTCAGAGGAATATAGTCATTATTACTGAAAACGTTTGATCGCAGAAAAAAATCTATCACCTTCTTTTTTAATTCGATTAATTTTATCGATAAATATTATCTCAATAAATAGATATATATATATATATATGTATACTTTTACATACTGTTCGTGCTATCTCCAAAAAGATAATGTTTCCAAAATTAGTGAATATGAGCGAAAACTTTTTTTTTATAAGAACACTATTTTTAATACTAACAAAATGTTATTCTGCATGTTTTTTTTTCTTTTTTTATTGAAACAAATCGACGCATCTTTCTTTAAACTTATAACGAAATTTATTAACAAAATATCTGTGGATGTATTTATTATATATTTTATTTTACGTTTTTAATGCGCTGTCAAAATTTTTTAAATTTATAAACGTATAAAATAAATTCTTATACGTAAATCCTTTTTATACCGTTTCTAAAAAAGAATTGATTAAAAAATTAATGAAAGTAAACGAAATGTTTCTTTAAAGACATTATTTTTGATCACTTAGAAAACGTTATTCCTTGATCAATGTATTATTCTGATTAAATGAAATTTTTCCTTAAATCTATAACTAATATTAATGCAAACAAATATATATTAGATGTATCGTACATTTTATTTTAGATTTTTAATCCTCGTTGGAAGAAAGAAAAGAAAGGAAAAAAAAGAAAAAAGAAAAGAGAAGGAAACAAAAATTGAAAGTTGATAAAAAAAGGAAAAATTTCTTTGATAGAAATTGATGGAGAAGGAAGAAATTGTGAAACACTATTTTCGTTATTACGAGAATTCCATCCAATGTTTTATCACCGAAACAAATAGATATCAACTCGGTTTACATTCTCTTCGAAATAGTTTGAACCTTATCAGTGATATTAAGCTTCTCGTAGAAAAAAAAGAAGAAGAAGAAAATAAAAGAAAAAAAGAAACAAAAAAAAGATAGTGCTCGATCATCGAAAAATCGAGGGCGTCCGAAGATAAATTACGATGATAGATACGAATTCAAAATTTAACAGTCGCTATTCACTATCTAAGGAAAGCGAGTGTTCGGGTTGGATACATTATATGTAACACTATATATATATGTTACTCGTGCTGTTACACGTTCGTATAGGGTGTTCAGAAAAGAAGAGAGAAAGAGAGACAAAAAGAATGAAGAAATGAGAAAGAAAGAGGGAAAGATGCGAATATGCTCTGAGAGCGATTTCACGTAGACGCAGGAGTCATAGAACGGTCGGCAATAACCTACCTTTATAGCCGACTTTCCGGGAAAGTGCGTTTCCCCTTTTCTTCACCTACGTGT